GTGTTATTTATTTATCTTTTTTCATAAGTGCAGCTGGGGCTCCTGCTGTGTTATTTGTACATCTTTAGAGGTAAATGTGATAAGAGTGGGGTTTGGATTTTTATAATGCAGCTCGCCTTGTAACATCCATGTAAGTAAAGCTGTTAAGATTAATTAACTTCGTCTCCTGTGGATGGGGCTTGACATTCTGGGTTTTATGGGTCATGCAGAGCACAGTTTGACTCATGAAATTTAATGTGCCAAAGTACTGTGTAATTCCTGGTGGGTCTAATGTCCAGTGAAACGCTCTTGTAACTTCCCCCTGACCATGAGGCTCTGTAAACCAGTGTCTGAGAGAGCACAGGAAATTCTGACACAATCAATTGGAACAAATTTGGTGATGTAAATAAATAAAAAGAAAAGGCCAAGAGATTTAGACACCGGAGTTAAAGTTAAAATGATACAGTCTTGGCACTGATTAGGGATGTAACAATACACACAACTCACGATAAGATATGATTCCCTTTTTTTATTTATTTTTTATTTTTAGAGTTCTGTTTTATCCCAAAATGAGCCCCAGACAAATTATGACCATATACAATGATCCTTTCCTTGTAAGAACTAGTCAACATACTGTAACCAACTTAAATGGTCTCCTGAAGTTATCTTAAATAACAAAATACAAAATAATGCACATTTCCTTACAGAAACACTGCACATCGTTATTTATCTCTTATTTATTGAAATTGAAATTGAAACTGGTTTGGTGTTATTTACCTGTCCATATATCAAACAACAAAAGAATATAAAATCTGGAAAGAGTTCCTTCCTTTAAAAGAAAACATTGTCAATCACTGTTGTGTCTGTAGAAGAAGTTCTTCCTACGTTCTGTGCGAACATTTGAATGTCACTTAGGCTACATATGGCTCTGACGATTGATTTAATAGGGTCACAACCATGTTTCTAGGCGCATTTCGTCACCTACTGTCCTGGAATGTATACTTCCATGATATGACCACTGATTTTTTTTTAGATTTACTCTTCACACCTTGATGTAAAATTCATTTTTATTTCCACCAATGCGAATTGTAATGCCTATATTAACTGACTAACGTTACAGTACAAAGTTGTAGGAAGCAGTGCAGCTTTATCTAACTTGAAAAGGCAAACTGTGTGATAAACAACAAGTTAGTGGAGGTTAAAACATAAACATATTTTTCAAAGTGTTCCAGCAGCAAATCCTGCAGGAAAAATCCATCACCAATCCATCATCAATTTAGCGGATAGCACAGCAGCATACTGCTCGTTAAAAAAAAACAACAAAAAAAAAAACCAACTGCTCCATGAGTGGCAGTGGATCCTCAGCTGTTAAAACATACCCCGTATAGACTTATAGACTGTATTATATCCAAACTTTAGAGACCGCAGTAGAATCTAAAGAAGATTCTGTGGCAATGAAAACTTTTTGTTTTTATTGTATAGAAAAAAAGAAAAACAGAGAAATAAAAAGTGGATGAATTTATCATTTTTGACACTGAGTAACTTCTGAGTAAATTATAACACTTCTTAAATATCTTGGCTCCAACCAAACCGGTACCTGAACAAATACACAACAACAAGTGAATTATTTCACTCCGATGGGAATGAACTGACATATAGACGCTGCAACTATACACACTCACTTGTTAAAACGTGTTACCAACCTCTGTGGAAGAACATCAGTCTTTTTGGGTGACATGTTACAAACTCCTGTCTAAGTGAGTGTGTTATCTTTTATACCTTTACTTTGCTTTACACTGTGTTACAAAGCTTGATGTTAAAGATCAGTTCCTGGAACACACTTTACATTTTAATCTTTAATATTCTGTTAAGGAGATTTTTTTTGAACAAATAATAGTACTAGAGGCTCATCCTCACCCATTTCCTTACCAGCATATGTAGGTAGGCTTTTCTGTACAATGTGACAGCACTGTGGGCCTACTGTGTATGCATAATGTAACTAGGTCATTATTTAAATATCACATACTTGGATCAAATCTGTTTTTTAAACTGATTTTTTTTTTTACACATACCTTAATGCTGCTGCCGCGTGGCCCACATCGGAATGCTAAAGAAATACCATTCTAGGCCATCTGCAGGCTAACCGAATGTGTGGTATGTGCCAGGTGTGTGCCTGGTGTTGAACCCTGTAGGGTAGATTAGATTAATTGGATTATTATTTTTTAACTTGAATTGCTGTATTATTTTTGATAAAAAAATAATATAATAAAAAAAAAACGAACAGTCAAAATGTTATTTTGGCTTATTGACATTTTCATAGGAAATACACTTTAAAAAATATTGCTGATAATCCTGCAGTTAAGGGCAGATATTTGACAAAATAAATGTTTTTGGTTCTAATTATTCTACTAATTTTATACAGGTTATATATAATATTCAGAAATATTATAACAACATAATATGTAGCTTTTATTATTAATGTTTTTATGATAGCAATTGTGAAATTTGAAAGACATAGTTTCCTGTTTCTGAGCCTCTGTGTTTACATCCAAAAACTTGGAAAAATAGGGCATCCATATCTGCTGTACAGTAGGTGGCTGATGCTGGAAAAAGACATGAAGGAGAGGAAAGGTGATTTTTGCTGAGTATGTGCTAGTCTTGAATTCTTCTATTAAAGCCTTTTGAAGGTAATTGTTATAATTAGACACCCTGAGTGTTTTTTCAAGTTACTGAGGCAGTGCAAAAGGACACAATACAGAACTACATGTGTGTCTGTGTCCGTGTATGCATGCAGGAATCTCTTATAACACACTCACACAAAGAGAGAGGCTCGCAGCATGAATTAGGTGATTATGTTCTTTAGGAGACTCATTTTCTTTTTCCATACCTCACCCTTTCTCTCTCCACAACACTCCCACAGTTCTTAACTGTGGCAGATGTCAATATGAGCTGAGAGAAAGGCCAGCTGAGCTGCTTTTATCTCCTGATCGTTGTCAGTATTCACCAAGTGGGAAGATAAAGTACTAAACTTTAAGAATTGAATATGACAACACTTTTTGACAACATCTTTTCTGTGCAGGCTGTAATAATTTGCAGTTAACTAAAGTAAAGTAAACACAATTGTATACACTTTCTTACCTGCAGGGGATGCTGTAAACACAGTCAAATGTCACAAATGAGGCATGAGAATTTGAGATAACAACAGAGGTGGGGGCACTCCCCCTGCTGGGTAACATAAGCAATTAGGGCAATGAGATCTGTGTGGCTAAAGCCCAGTGGTAATGTCAAATTTGAAGTCCCGTTTTAAAACTAAATCACATTTTTAAAAAATGTAGAGAAACATTCTGAAACGACATATTGTTTCGGCCATCCACTTACAAATGAAAGGACAAAATAGAAAATACAAGCAGAGGGCAACAACACTGCTGATGAACACAGCACCAGAAAGAAGGGTAAAAATGTTAAATATTAACCAAATCTTGAACATACAAGTTTGTAACCTCATCACAAATTATAGCTTTTGTATGTTGACTGCCTGGAACCTGGTTATAATCATATAATCACTTTAAAACAATATCTTTTTAAATATTTTTAAATGTTAACATGCTGGTATATATTTCAATTTCTGATATCAAGTCTTTAACTTTTTTTTTACTGGTTCCCCATAGGGTGACAACATTCTACACCAGCATCCACACACTTTTACCATCAGATACAAACCCATACAAAACATTAGCAGCTCGTGTAATCATGTAAAAACAGATCATAGGAGCCAGCTAATAAACAAAAACTCTAATCTAATTATAGGATCTACTGATGACTTATCGAAGCCGTACAGTTTTGCACCATTAGTTTTCAGTTTTTCTCATTTATAGTAGTTTAAAGCAGTGGGCCTCTGAGGCTTCCTCACACAACACCCTCACTGTGTTTCTGCTGGGATCAGAAGGCAAAGCTATTACACACTGGAGGGTTTGTCTCAGCCACACTGAATGGCTATGCATTTTAAATGCAGGATTAGTGTCTACAGAGAGGCAGGCACATGGGAGGGACGCAGTCAGTCGAGTGCTAATTTGATTTCTTTCTTTTTTTTTCTCACATTAACCTGTTTTACTCAGATAGTTTAAAATCCTCGTATCAACACGCAGACAAATATACTCAGTAAAACTGAATGTTTAGGCAGGGATGAACATTCTGTTTCCTTGGTGGAACAATGGCTGACTCACAGTGGTTATTGACAGATTCACGCAAAGACAATTGCAGCGCTGTGTCAATGCTTCAGTGGGTATGACAGGTCGTCTTCTAGCTGTAAGGTCGAGAGGTTCGATCCCCAGCTCCTCCAGATTTCAGTGTGTCCCTGGGCAAAACACTTAACCTCAGAGTGCTCTCTGTGGCTCGGCTGGCTGCTTATGTATGACAGATGTATGATGGGAAAAGTGCTGCATTTACCGTAATGGGTTTTTATATATGTACATGTGAATAGGTGAATAAGTGTAAATCCTTTAAGAGCTACTGACAATCAGACAAATTGCAATTTTAATTTTTTACATTACCCACTGAAATGGGAGGTCACCTGCCGGCTCTTCAGTTTCTGACATACAGTTTAAAAATGTAGTAATTGTATAATATACGAAGGTAATTTGGTATAAAAACAGTCGCTAAAGGCACTTATTTGGTTCTACTCTTTTAGAAAGAACTGAGTTTTTAAGGATAAAATATGAATTTGATTCATCTAAAGGCAAAAAAGCAACTGTGTCCATCTGGTTGTAGTTTTATCTTGGCTGAATGGACAACTGTCCGTGATGGAAAAATAAATCATTATATATAAGTCATCTATTGTTTGTCTGTCTGTAATTGGTTCCTGGTGGACATTTGTTCATAAATGTCACGATGAAAGCCCTGAAGTGGTGAAACTTGTTTTAATCACAATAAAGACATTTTTGTGATATTATGAAATCTAACGATGAACTGGAATCATGAATTTCATTCAAGGAATAATGAAACTTTCCCATAATTTCTTTCAGGTGGAGACATGGATGATTCATCTCCGTATGAGCCCGTACCCCCAAATCGACACCCTGACGCTTTCCGCTTGGCTTCAATCTCATCAGGTGCGTCAGGTTTGATCTTAACTAAACACACGGTTATTTATCACAGGAGTGGAATTGTGACGTAAAAAGTTCTTTATAGATAAAATTAGATTCTTTGGGGATTTAAACATGATATGTAGCGTTGTCTTTGTTAATCTTTTCTGGATGGAAATCCATCAGTCATCTGTCCTTGTCTTGGGAAACAGCACAGCTTGTTTGTTTGTTTGTGGGGTTCAAGTGTATATAGTCTCAGCATCACATGTTTCCCAGCTATTGATTTGACTTTCTCTTTGATTTCCTCTTTAGTTTACTAATTAAACAGCCCAGCACTCAACAGGGGAGCTATAGCCTGCTATTTTATGTACCATCCTTGTAATACAACTCAATGCAGCTATTATATGTCACAGATACAGCAGCTATTTCAGTGTGCAGAGAAGGGGCTGCAGGAAAGGTGTGATTAGACCGTCTGTCGTCCCAGCTTCAGTCAATTAAAGAATCACATTTTCTTTTTGATTCTTTTTGGACACAGGTTTCGCAGAAACTTCCTTCAGTTCTTTTTTTTTTTCTTACCCCACTGTAACCAAGTAAGCCACAGGCACTGAAGGAAGCCTGTTTTGCATTTTCTTACTTCTCTGATGAATCCTGCTTTGGTTTTGAAATGGGAGGTTCAAAAAGAAACAGACTTTTTACAAAATCCTTGGTTTGAAATCACTGTTGTATTATATGAGTTCAAAACATGCTTTTCCGATGTACTCAGAGAAGGAGAACGTACGAGAACAAATAAAAGAGTGCAGGCTTTGATTACTTTAGACTTTCTGAGCAAAGATGGCAGACGCTTTTGAATGCGTATTTGCCGACAGAGTATTCGGTTAGTGCAAACATCTGCCAAGGATCCACAATCTTAAAAATGTGTTGTTTTGTTGATATAAAATGTAACGTTGTAGAGATGTTGGATTTGCATTTTATTACAGCCCTTACTTATTTACAGTCAAAACAAGCTGCTGTGTAATTTCTTTTACCAAGGCTTTTGTGCAAGGGTAAACTTTCAGTTAAGTAAAGCTGAGTTATGACAGCTTCTTTATTTTGAAGTTGTACATTTGTTAAAATAGGGAAGTATGTGTTGAGGTGCCTTGACAATTTAAGTGCCACGTAGAATGTTTTAAATTTATCTACAGGAGATAATTAAAACAAATTGAAGCAAGCATTTTTTTATTTTCCAAAACTCAAGTTTTCAACCCAATGTACTTTGCAGTGTAAAAAGAACATGGACATAAACATAGTACTGATCTCAAGCGAGAGAAAACTGCGATTGAGTCAAACAGAGGGATAAGAATAATTATGCTTTTTTTTTATTCTGTCCATGTGGACTGGTAACATATTATTTATGGTCCAGTTATGGTCCCTGCCCCGGTGGTTGCTAACCCCCAAAGTGTTAGGTAACATTAAGCAGTTTAAGGCTCCACGTCATGTATTTCACTGTTTTTCATTCTGTTAAAGCTCCATTGTTTAAAGCTTGATGTTTTGTTTTGGCCATTAACTGTTGGCTACGGTTGAAGAAGGTTATGCAATGAATCAAAGCATTTTCTCCTACTTAATTATTTAATTACTAATATATCTACATGAAATATTTTCTTAAAACCAGTTTTTGTAGAACGTCAGGGATTCACACTGAACAACTGTAATGTTTTTTGAACATGGTGAGAGGTAAAAACCATGGACCAAATTTAGTGCTGTTGATAGCCACTCATTGTCCATATAACTATGGTGTCAATCAGCTGGTCAGTTGTAGACTTATTTGCTGCCCACCATCATTAGGCCGGTCAGACACAAGCTGGCCATCTGACCTAAAGTTGAAGCCTCCACACATGGAGGTTAGACAGTGAGGTTAGACAGTATAGCTGCTGGCGATATGTTCTGATAAAACAATGAGCCTGGTGCTCTGCAATGCACCCACACATATTAAAATACAACAGGGGACTCACTACATCTGCAGTTTACTTTCTCCATGCTCACCAAGGTGAAATATTGGATTTGCTCTCTGCAAACTGTTTAGCCGCAAGGTTTAGTCATTATTTATCATTTCTGAGGACGGCGTAATTGATTGAGAAGAAACCGCGGGCAAACAGATAAGTAATTACATACTTGTTTTATGGAAATACTTCTTTCCTAATTTACTCAGCCACATTAAAGCCACATGCTCATAATCACATCTTTAAATGTTAAACTGTATGGAGACCCAGGGGTTGTGATATCTGGTCGGCTGACAAGGAAAGTGGAATGTGTATTCTCCTGGAGCAAAGTGTAGGAAATTGAAAAATAATCTCTGCTATTTTAACAAAAAAACTTTTTGTTTGGAAGGGAGATAAGAAACAGAGAGTCTGATAGAAATAATAATAATAAAACAAAATGTCTTCTCTTTATGTCCTCACACTCTGAAGTTATATTTAAGTAGAGCATATAGAGTCGCTTTCTGCTTTGTCCAGAGTGGTACCTGGAAACCACATAGTGCCTTTTCCTATTAAGTAGTTTAAGCCACTCAGTGTTGGCATATCTTTACAGAGTGACTATTTGCATGCATATAACACACACACTGACAGAAGAAAGTAAAAAGTTTAACTCATGTCGGCTTGCGCTATTAAGGAAATTCACTGTTTTTTTCCCCTTTCATTTGCCTGCACTTTAACAACTTAGATGAAAATAAAAAAGCTAGGAAAAGCCTTGTTAGAAATCCTGAGATGAGTTCAGCTTTTCAAACATGGTCTTGGCTGGAAGTGTACACCTGCATCAGCAGGGTTTCATCATCCCGCTGCTCAGTGCAGCTATGGAGAAGGCAGACGAGAGATTCCCCATGACAGCAGTGGTCCCTGTTCCAGCACAATCCTGCTGGGATGGCAGTGTGGTGTCACTGTCTCCAGCACTGGTTCCTCCACATCTTTTGAGCCACAGCTTTCACCACTGAAGTGTTGAGGAGCTAGTATCTTAGCTACAGTAAGTGTAGCATATTCTAGTTGTCATCGTTGGTGTCTGTGAGAGGATTGTGAAATTAAAAAGTCACCGTGGAGGAGAGGGACGCAATTAAGACGAGATGTTGCAGAGACAAATGACACAGCAGGAACCAATGGAATGCAAAAGAGATTAATTCTATGTGTGCACTGTAGCAAATGATGGTAAACACTGTGAGTATGCAAATCTACAACAGTCTTTTTCATCATTAACCCCAGAAATCTCTGTTCACAGGACATGTGGAAAGAAAACTTAGAACCTAAAAAAGACATATGAAATATATTTCCTCTTTTTCCCTTATGTCAAATTATAATTGAATTCTCCTGAAAAGCATGGATCATTCACATATTTTACAGTATTGTGTATATAATAACTACTACTTTAAAATGAGTATTACTTTTGAAGACAGTATGAACATTTTTAACAATTAGCAAATTAGATTTTCCCCCCGAGCTACTTGTTTTTAGATGTTTTTTGCTTCTTGTCTCGTGTGACGTCTGTTATTCTCTGCATATAAATCTCCTCGTCATTGTGCACTAGGCAGTCACACTGTTGTTTACTCCTCTGAGCAAAACAACTTTGACAGCAGCCAGTGACACCTGTGTCACATCAGGGCAGAGGGTCTGTGTCAAGGTGTGACACCACAGGGAAGATGGGGAAGGTGATAGATGGATGGAGAACAGAGGTTACTGTAGAGTGTGTGAAGAAGGGAGCACAGAGGAGCTAGTGGAAGTGGAAGTGACCCAAGTGCTGGAATCAAACAATAAAAATGTTGTATTCCTGCAACTGAGAATGGCTAAATAGGATCTAGTCAGGATTCAAATAGGAAGTCTTAAAAATTCCTGGTGCATAAACATCACTGGGCTGGAGTCTGGAGCACAGCTATGGTCGAAGGAGTCATTAAACATGCCACAGATAATGACATTAAAGAAGAAGTAGTGAAATCCAGATGCTGTGTGTAAAGAGAGATAATAGAAATATTTTGGCTTCAATTATCAGTTTCTAATCTGTACAAGCAGCGTTAGTGTCACAGTAAAAGCCAGTCCAGAGACAGCTGTGAAAAATACTGCAGCAAATTAAAAGATGCATGTAGTGTCCTTCCTTTGAAGTGCCTTTCACAGATGCTTTCCCTGCTCAGAAGCAAAAAAACAAAACAACACAATAACACTTTTTATTTTTTTATTTTATCATGACCAGCACAGTAACCTATTGTTTTTATTTGTGGACCACTCTTAAGAATCCAGCGTGTACCTTTGTGTGTAACTGCCTATGAACAAAAGGGTCTTTTTATGTTACTTTATTTTTATTGTTGTAAACCAAGCATGCAAATGACCCTTCGTCCTCGGTGATGCAGTTTAAATTCCTTGGTCTACCGTTATGTGCACTGATTGGTTGGTTGCCTAGTTGGTTTACAACTACTTTTGAAGCTACTTCCACCTGATAATGACCTAGAAATCAACATGGGGCAGCAGCCACGGATTCATCTGAGCAGGAAAGGTGACTTTATTTGAAATGTAATCGAACCCTTAGATGCCCCCCCATGCCCTCTTCCTATAAACTTGATCTTTAACTATACAGCTAAAACTACATTTAGCTGTTCACCTAAGAAAATGTTCCAACTCTAATTAGGCCTGGTTTCTAATAGACTTGTTCGTTACAACTACAGTCCTTACAATCAAATATTCTAAGAACTGTGCTCCCAAATACAGCAATAAACATTGTTTAATTTGGAGAATCGTTAACTACGGTGATTACTTCACACTGGGTTTAACTGTAATTTAATTCGAAATGTGCTCACACCACGCAATCGTACCGTACCGTATCATGCCCTGGATTCTATGGCCAGCGTCTGGTCAAAGGCCTCTCAGAGGGAATGCAAGGGTAAATCATCGAGAAGGTGTCGAGAACAGAGCAGGACCAGTACAAGATCAGTGCAGGCTAAAACAAGGACAGTTGAGGTGACGGCATGACCAGGTCCTGAGGAGGTTCGTGGATGAGTGGGAGCACCGCAGGCAAGT